TTGCAAAAATATGAAAGAGCCAAGACACCAGCAAGCACACTTAGACGCTCACCAATAGGATACCCTTTACCCTACTTGACTTGACTTAGAACGACATTCTCAATCATATTTTTTGTGTTCAGTACTGCTCGTACTTTTGTTCACGACCCATCGAGGCACTGCGTGAGCACACGTATTCCCTTTCTACGTACTCACGAGAAGGCACATTTGGGGATATGTATATTTTTGGTTGATAAAAAAGTCCATTTTGTGTAACATGTCAAAGGTCACAAGAGAAGCGCTAATACTTTCTTGGAAAAAATTAACTATGAACAAATTTAAGATCTTGATATCGCTTAAAAAACCATTGTTAAATATCTTAAGTTATAAGTATAGGAAATAAATAAACATGTTGCAAAGTGAAAAGCAATTAATCACTATCCTAAATTTGTGATTGTTCCCATTTAAACACATTAATATTCAGATTCCGATTGATATCAGTTTTCCAATGTCTTTAAGAATGCGCAAATATAAAACGAATGTATTGCCTTAAAATAGTGACAAAAGTAATTTTAATAAATAATGTGAATCGTAAATCAAAAGTTGTATTTACTTGTATGATAAAATAACTCTCTTTTATCATCGATATATAAATAAAAGTATCATTATATATGGATGCTACGTGTGCCTTAAAATATTTTCAGAAGTAATTTAAATAAGTACTGTAAATCGTAATTCGAAAGTTGCATTTTTGATTTAAAAAATAATTCTCCCTCTCTTAGTTGATCACCAATATATACATAAAAGTATCATGATATATGGATGCTACCTATGTCGTAAAATATTTTCAGAAGTAATTTAAATAAGTACTGTAAATCGTAATTCAAAAGTCGCATTAATAAAATAATTCTTCCTCTCTTAGTTAATCACCAATATATAAATAAAAGTATCATTATGGATGGAAAAGTATCTATATGGATGCCAAAAATAGTTTCAGAAGTAATTTAAATAAGTACTGTACATCGTAATTCAAAAGTTGCATTTAGTTGATCACCAATATATAAATAAAAGTGTCATTATATATGGATGCTACCGGCAATAAATGCCATTTGATAGCCTCAAAAATCAGGGTACAAATCAAAAATTGCACCTCGACATGAGGCTCATCCGACTTTCCCCGAACTACATATAATACAAGTAGTTGGCCAACATCTTGTTTATACTTCTAGTTTCGAATTGGAACCATCAACTTATACTAGCTAGGTATAAGGCGCGCTATATTTGTGAGTTGAAGCAGTTGTAAGGCTCAAGAAAGTAGTGTACACTGTGGAGAATAAAGGGGGCAGACAGTTGTGTTGCATGCTGCAAGCTTTGTGATCCATGCTGTTTGCTCTGCTAAATGTGGGCGCTTAATCTTGAGCGCAATAATTAAAATGCAATCAAATGCGGGCGCAGTTTTTATTCTTGTCGTTGTCGTTGTTGTTGTTGTTCGTTTTCGGTTTTTTCTTATTTTTATTTTTGAATGCAGCAAACACCTGACACGCACTACTCCGTACGGGCATCGATCAATTGATCGGCCAGAGATAAGCGGGCAAAACTGTCAACGGGAGGAACACAGAAATGGGGAATAGGCATATTATTTATGGGTATTTTGAAAATGACTCTTGTCGGATCGGATCGGGTCGGATCGAATCGGATGCGACCAACTGTTGTCAATGCCGTCACTGTCGTCGGCCATCCACGCCCGCACTTGCTGATCCGTTCGCTTATCGCACGCTCTCCGGCCTCCCATCATCTGTCTAGGTCTTGGCTCTACGCGCTCTGATATCTTTGTCTCATTGTCGTTCCCTCAATATTTTATACGAGTATGTACCTTTGTGTCTGTTAGACTCTTCCCAATTCTGCCTTTGCATGTGCGTGAGTGCGTGCAGGTTCTGTATTCAATTTGATCTTTTGGCAGCTCATTTGTTGGCTTCAAATCGAATGCTGTTGTTGTTGTTGTTGTGGTTTCTGTTGTTGTATATAACGCTGCGGGTTGTCTGCTGATGACCCCCTCGTCCATTGATAAGAGCGACTGTCGACGTCCCTCTGCGAGTGGCGCCTGCGCAGAGTTCGTGCTGCCGCTTCGATAATGATGCTTTCGATGATGCCGATGATGCCGATGATGATGATGAGGTGAACAGATCGGGCTAACCAGCAGTCCGGAGAGTCCCAAACAATGTGTCATTTTAATGTTCTTTAAAATGATTTTTATTGTGTTCATTGTTATACGTTACACTTGTGCCCCGTAGGCGTTGATGTTGTTGTTGTTGTTGTTGTTGTTGCTGTTGTGGCTTCAACAGTCATAAAAATTTATTAGTTACGGCTCATTTGTGCGTCATTGCAAACAAGGTAGGCAAATGCATATACAAATAAATAAACAAATAAACAAACAAACAAACACCGTTGCAACAGAATGAGAGAACTGAGAACAGGCAAGTGCCACCTGCTGTCCGCCCCTCTGGCCATCGGTTCACCGTTGCGTCCAGACATCCTTTCACTTTTAATGAACGGCGACGCGATCGCTGCATAAATCATCGTTCGAAAAAACCAACAAATGTCGAAAGTTGTCGCGCTCATTAATGGTCTCTGTCCCATTCCCAGTCCCAGTCCCCTGCATCGATCCAGCAACTAAGACCACGAGCACAGCCACAGCCACAGCCACGCCTTGCCACGCTGCCAACGTTAGGCCCCATTTCACGCTTCACGCTACCACGAGATCATTAAATACTTTTAGGAGTGGCCTGGAGAGCGCTGCCACTGCTATTGCCACTGCCACTGCCACTGCGACGCCGACAGCGACAGCGACATCAACTGCAACATCGACATGCCCATGAAATTAACGCTATTAATCTATTGGATTACTTGAACGGCATCAAGAAATTAACTTGCCACATCATTTTTTAGATGGCTAGTAATTTTTATGACGTTCTTGTTGCCGAGTATTGCAGGTGCAAAAGGACGCCAGCATGAGGCCACGTGCAGTCTTATCAAAGTCCCAATTCAGTGTGGGATCTCTTGACTAATTACGGCTTTCCAGCCACAACTTCTGATGTTGAACCGAAGTTCCGAGTCGGGCTCATCATTTGTGGTATAATGAGATGAATGGCAACGGCCAGAAACCCCTCAATCCTCTATAACTTATTCTAATTATGGCTATAATTTACATTTTAAAGAAGATAGTACTGCAGCCAAAGTTCTGAATAGAATAAGACATCATGTGGGGCATGATTAGGAACTATGTCTTATGTCTTTTATAAACACAAGAATCTCTGCAATAACTCACAAGAATTAAAGCACTTGCTGGATAAGTCTGCAACAGGTATGATCGCTTATCCTGATTTTTTTCAATATAAAGCGTTAAGCTAAAGTTTTACATATCGTACGAATTTTGTTTCGAGGAGGTTATCGATTCGTCTGTATTCAAAAACAATTTTTTTATGTTTGTTGCCTCAGCACATTCGACTGAGTGGACCGATTTTGATGATTCTTTTTCCATTTGAAAGCTGGTGTTTTCCGAATGGTCCCATTTCAATTTGTTTCAGTTCCATGGGAATCCATATAAGTCTTTAATTTGCATTATAGTAAGTATAGCGAATAACTCAATATGACGCCAACCGATTTCGATGATCCTTTTTTATTTGAAAGAACGTGTCTAAAGAGTACTTTAATGAGAGTTTGGTTAGGTTATGTAAAAGAGGACGTTCTTAAGTCGACTGTATTTATGATGGTCACATTTCAATTTGGTCCGATTCTGACAATGGGATGGGAAACCATATAAGTCTTCAATTTGTCTTAAGTATGTGCGCGACAAATGGGCGAATAACGCCAACCGATTTCGATGATTCTTTTTTATTGGATTGCATCCATGAGAAAACTGCCTTAAACATACCTCACGTAGTCGAAATATCTGAAAATTCTATTCCTGAACCGGGTGCTGTAACCTCAAAATCATCCGTCACTTTAAATGATAAAAAAGAAACATTCTCTGCACTAGACCTGAAGTCGGTTTTTTAGTTGTATGTTCTTTTTGACAAAACTGACCTTAAATAGGAATACATTGTAATCTTTAAAGCTCTATACTAGTCTACTTGTACATATATGTATTCCTATATGGATGCACTGGGATGTCTGGCTAATGGGCGGATTCGTGTCCACATGCGCTTCTATTGTTGCTGCTTAAGTATGTGGTGTGTACATACACGTATGTACATACTTGTATGTATGTACTTTATTTATTAGAACAGCTGTGGCAATAACAACAGCAACGACAGCCGCATATCGGTCCAATGAGCGGCACACAACAGTTTCCATCATCAATGGCGAGAACAATGGGACTCATAGAGGCAGTCAGGCTGCTAACAAAGGCTATAGGAAACGACCCATTGAGCGGCTGGCAAAAAGTGGCAAATGCGAGGCCTGGCAATTGTTTGAGTTGCGTTGCTTATCGGGCTTGTTAATCAGTTTACATCGGCCTCGCTGGCTTTGTTCAATGGGAATGGGGCTGCCTCTGTCTTACAACTGCAACTGCTATCACGATTGTTGGTTGAGCGGCCGAGCTCTCGGTTTTATATTACCATCAAAATTATGTCAAAATTCTGCGAGGCACAAAAGTGCGAAATTCGGTGCGATTTGACACGTGATTAGAAGAGCAGCAGCAGAATGATGGGAATGATGGGCGATTCTGTGACTTTTGCCTCGTCCCGCAATTCCAGCTCATATCTCATACTGAGGCATGCAATAGGAGTAGGAAGTGTGCAATATCAGTGCAATATTTATATACAATTTCTTATAAGCCTTTTGATCCTTCTTCGATAATGCACAAATTGGAGCTGCACTATTACTCTGCATCTACTCCCTAAATCACTAACTGGAGGTATTTGCCAAATTTGAGTTCAAAATTAGGGGGGAGACGTATTCATTTAATATAATAATATACATTTCATTTACAGAATATAAATAAGTTGGCAAAATATAAATATATAAATATAGTATAGTTATATTTCAATAAGATAACACATGTTAATTATATCAAGAGCTTGTATTAGATCGAATTATCGGCTCTCTGAGTGTAGGATGCGCTTATTGTATAATGATTGTGTAATGATGATAGCGATAATTACAACTATGCCTTCCTAAACATACGAAAACTTGCGCTTCTTCTTATCCTTCTTGGGCTTAACCACCATCTCCTTGTCCAAGTCAATTGGCACAAGCCTGGAATAGAACAAGTCTCGCAACTCCTTTCCAGCGATATACACGGGAGTACCCTCCTGATTGTACAACATGCAGTTGTTGAACAGCAATTGAAAGTCTTCCAAAGCTTCGTCAGCCTGCCAGTAGTAATTATTCTCCAATCTCTTCTTGATTGTGGAGAGATCCATGGGACGCTTAACCACTTTGTGGTAATCGGGAATTCCCAAGACAATCGAATTCACTGGCTTTTTGAAGTGTTGGGACCAGCGACTGCGCCAGAGGAAGTTCAAAACCTTCTTCAGCTCCTCCAACACGTTGGTGTTGCGACCGGGACGACTTGGCAAAGGCAAGACCGGAGGCTGTACGATCCCATTCACAGGATATAATAATGGTTCGATGCGTGGAATAGGTGCGGACTTCATTTTATTTTCAGCCATGGCCTTCACTTCAAAATCCTAAAAGAACTGAACTTGGACATAGATTTGCATTTCTTTTTTTTATAATTTTACCTAAAAACTCACTCGCTTGTTATAATTAATCCAATAAGTCAGATGTAATTTTTCCTAATTGCCTGAAAATATTGAACTACAATTATTATTTACCTCTCGACTTCTGAAGAAATTTATACAATTTTTTTTCTTCAAAACGCTTAGAAATAATAAACTCTTGTTGAGAGCTTTGTGCCTTTAAAGCTTCACTCCAAAATCTCTGGTATAGCTGCAATCGATTGCTGGAAAACGCAACTTTTTTTTAAGGCAGTCAACAAAATTTATAAATTATATTTACCTTAAAATTTCTTGGGGAATAACACTTAGATGTTGCTACTCCAACAACTCAGACAATAATGAAATTATCGGGAAAACTCCTGCCTTCTCCATTTGACAGCTAGTGCTTTGGTAGCTTGATTTTCCAAGACAGGATATCCATAAGCTTTGCAAAACGACTGGTCTCACTAAAAGGGAGATATGTGATTCTTTATAAGCCGTGAGAAAAAAACCCACACATACTATAATAAAGAGAAATAGATAACATGTTATATTTACATAAATGATCGGGAAAACGAAACAAATCCAAATCTCAATGTCCTCTGGTCTCTTTTAATCACTAAAGAAGCTTCTTTTTGATAAAAATAAATAATAGGAGATTTGGATTTGGATTGACTGCGGAGTCGCTTCCAGACTCATCAGAATAAAGCCCAGCGCTTATCACTGGGACAGTGGCGGACGTAGCACGCAATTCCACGCTGCTCCATGACCCTTGAGCTCCAGATTAAGAGGAACAACGAGTCTGGTCAGACATCTTCCAGGTGCGCATCCCATCAGCCGGCGGATATCGTTCTTCGCCCATGACCATGGAAGACTATAGTATGATAAGTTAGTGGACGCCGCTATGAAATATTTCTGAAAATGTAAGGATGTATTTCCGATAACAATTGTTGTACTGTAGATCCACAGTTTCCTACATAGTATGGGAAACTTATGGACAAAGATCTATCAATTCTGAACAGACAAGCTCTTCAGATTGCAAAGATTCGGCCAAATAATTGTTACTCTTTTGCCGCTGTTTATGTATTGCCCTTGAGAGTTCAGTTTTCCGTACACCCCCAAAAAGTGCTAACTTGGCCCACTAAGGGAAGTCTTTGGCCAAAGCTAAAGCGTTGATTATGAGCCAGGCAGTCAGGGAGTGGGTAAGGACGAGGGGTCTTATAAACATACATAGAAATACATATGTATATCTATATATATATAAGTTTAATGGTAGGCTATATAGCTGAGTGGTACTTGAGCGTAAAATGCGACATGTTCCGCTTTAGCATACGGACATCCGCTTGAGCAACAACAACAACAGCAACATGAGACACGCACTAAAAGGAACTCCTGCAAGTTTTTCTTTTGGCCATGGCCTATGGCTTTCCATGCCACTGCACCAACACATTCCTTGTAGCATGTTCTTGTTGCCACTACTGTTGTTATTGTTGTTGTGGTTGTTGCTGCTGCTGCTGCCGCTGCTGCTGGCTTGTGTTGTCGTGTTCAGTTGCCGTAATGTTTGTTTATTGAATGTATACGACGCGTATTTGTTTGTTTTATGGCCGCATAAAATTTTATGCCGCATAAAGTTATCGCCTAACGAGCTCAATGGGCGCAACGACAACAGCAACAACAACAGCAACAACAGCAGCAACAACAGCAGCAACAACAAGAACAACAGCAACAAGAAGCCGTGTTCGCATTAGAATGAGTTGGCACTGGAAACTTCTGAAACACCCCACGAGCGAAAGAGTAAATGCTTGTGCAGCACAAAACCGAATTGCGAAAAATTTTAATTTGCAATGCATTTTCATTGCGTCGCCGCTATTTTCAGCTTGTTGTGTCGCCGTCGCCGTCGCCGTCTCCTCTCCTTTCTGTTTTTGCGCGCTTATCCTGCAGCCTTTTTGCTCGCGCGGCGCGTTGTAATTTGAGCGTAATTCACGTAAACAGCAAATTCCGATGTTGCCACTGCAGATGCCGCCCAGCCAGTGGCAGTGTTGCAGGGCAGCATCAACAAGCATACTTACTTACTTACTTACTTATGTACACCTGTAGTGGAACTAAAATGTTAGTGCTACTATTTCATTATTCCTTTATTTTAAGGAGAACATAGCTCCAAAATAAAAACCACTTCAACCAGATAGATAACTATATACGGGTGTTTATCGGTAAAGGAAGAAGGCCTTACTAGTAGGTTTGGCAGAACTTATGTTTTGTTATTGAGAATCACCATCATTTCATCAGATTTAAGCAAGTATTAAAACAACTAACATTTAGACATTTGAATTAATAGAGTTATACATTTGTCCTTATTTATAAACTGGCTTCAGTTGAGCAATTGTTTATTCATTTTTCAACTATTTATTATAAATATAATATAAACAATTTAAAGAATATGGAAGAGGGGCTAGTTTATGCAGAATGAAATAAGCTAATCAATATGCATTCTACTATTTCAACCACATTTCCGTTCATTAAAACTAATATGTATCTAACTTAACTATTTTAGCCCCCTTTCTGAAACTCTTGTATGAAAACAGCGTTCAGTGGCATTCAAATTATAAACAAACTTGGCAAACATAAATTGATTCTCGAAATATGCATCAAGATGCAGAAAAGTCTTTGGACTTGCCCCCCTCTATAGCTACGCCTCTGCATGAGCGCAATTGGCAGGCAAAAAGCTGAGCAGAGAGCCCGGCAGCTCAAGGGAAGTCAATTTGGTTGACACCTCACGTTCATCAATGAACAGAGGCTGCCGTCAAATGTCTCCGCGTACTCATCACATTGGATCACTCACTCAGGCAGCCAGGCAGCCAGTCAACCAACCAACCAGCCAGCCAGCCAGCCAGCCAGCCAGCCAGCCAGCCAGTCCGCTCCATCTGCAGGCCATTCTGCAAATGTGTACGTAATTATTCCAGCAATTTGTTGCTTCGCCAATTGCGCGTGCATTCCACAAGAGGCGGCTTGCACAGATCGCTCTACTTCTCCTCCAGGCCCTGCACCAGCACCAGCACCTGCTCCTGCCCCTGACTCTGGCCATCACCATCACAAACACCATCGTCCCAATCACACTTTGCATTTCATCATTTCATTCTGTTGCCTCTTGACCAGGTGGGGCATATGCGCAAATTGAAACGATTTGTTGCCGTGATAACACAAACGAGAAGGGATTACGAGTTTCCCATAAATCTAAAAGCTAGGTCAAGCCTTTGACTCTGAGCTGGAACTCCAATTGGAACTGCTCCTATATCTCAAGCGTATCCTTTGCTGCAACTTGAGTTGGACCTCAAGCTAGAACTTCAGTTCAAACTACAACTCTAACTAGGTACGTTTCTTCATACTTCTTCATAGACTTATCATTCCATAGGCACAGGCTGCACTTGCCCCGAAGGACGACGCAGATCAATGCATTCCGCTTGGCAATTGCTGTTCCGCCACCACTGGCAGCACAAATAACCTGTTTAACTTATTTGTTATCAAAGCTTAGGAGACTGTAATAACTCTCAGAAAACAAATAATCGAGAAAATAGTTGAAACTAACTGATCTCCTAACTTAAATCAACTCATCCCATTTAAGGTTTTTAAGGTTCTGTGCCAGATATTTCAAAATTCACAACTAATGATTCAAATGATTCGCAATAGATTCTACTCGATCTCAAGAAAAATAGTTAGTTGTTTGGGAACTATATAGTGTTTAGGAGGTTTCCAGAATTTCAGACATTTCATTTTCGAGTTTTTAAAATTTGTGTGCCAGATATTCCTTTCAGATATTTCATGCCCAACTAATATCAAATGATTCGCAATGGGTTCTACTCGATCTCAAGAAAAATAGTTAGTTGTTTGGGAACGATATAAGGCTTAGGAGGTTTCCAGAATTTCAGACAGCTTATTTTCGAGTTTTTGAAATTTGTGTGCCAGATATTCCATTCAGATATTTCATGCACAAATGATTCCTAATAGATTCTACTCGATCTCAAGAAAAATAGTTAGTTGTTTGGGAATAATATAAAGTTTAGGAGGTTCCCAAAATTTCAGACATTTCATTTTCGAGTTTTTGAAATTTGTGTGCCAGATATTCCTTTCAGATATTTCATGCACAAATAATATCAAATGATTCGCAATAGATTCTACTCGATCTCAAGAAAAATAGTTAGTTGTTTGGGAACGATATAAGGTCTAGGAAGTTCCCAGCATTTCAGACAGCTTATTTTCGAGTTTTTGAAATTTGTGTGCCAGATATTCCTTTCAGATATTTCATGCCCAACTAATATCAAATGATTCGCAATGGGTTCTACTCGATCTCAAGAAAAATAGTTAGTTGTTTGGCGACGATATAGGGTGTAGGAGTTACAAAGAATACCAATCTGCAGAGCACTTAAAAGTTCTGCTGCTCCACATTTTCAATCTCTTTGTGTAGGCGACATGGATCGGCAGTTCGCTCGCCTCTTTTTGCTCGCAAATGGTTGGCCCAGACTGTGTATGGCCCCGCCCCTCCGCTCTCCGCTCTACCGCCCGTCCTCCCAACACTCCACTTTTTGTACGCGCAATGAGTGTGGCAAATAATTATGTTAAGTTGCATGTAATTGGCAATCCTCGCGTTGCATTGCACTGTCGTCGTCTTCGTTCGTCTTCTCCCCCTGCCCGTCTCATGGATGCTGGTCGTGCGCATTGCCTTCGTATGTATGTATGTATCGCACCAAGTATGTATGTATGTACACTGGGGAAAAAACTAAAAGCTGAGGCATATTTAATATTTCATATTAGGTTCGAAAAATTTGCATTTGCACACAATATCACGTTTTAATATTTATTTTAATTTATTCTAATGTTCTTGAAGTTCTTGTTTATTTTTAAAGATAAAATATGCACGGGCTTAAGTAATTTATTATTTTATGTATAGTATTATTTACTTAATTGCCTACATATATAAGTATAAGTATATAAGTATATATAAGTATAAGTATAATAAGTACAAGCATAACTTCTACAAATCCTGTATGCTCCAATTCCCAACTGATATTATGAAGATTTTTTTCTTATATTTAAAATTCAATTTTGAAGTGGTCAGCTTTATTTATATCAAGCAATATAACGTAAATACTTAGTTGGTTAATATTAACACAAAATTCAGATAATAAAATATATACGAAAATTAATATTATTAAACAAAA